AACTGTAAAATTTTCCTCCTCACTTGGTTCATTCCCTGGTCCTCCTCCAGACAGGACTGCATCGTTAAGCTCCAGTGGCATTTCACACATATTATTGTCCACCCTAGATCAGCTAAATATGTGTTGAATTTCCACTCAAATCTTCACCATTTGTTGAAAGTTAGATTGAGAATTTTTTCTTAAAAGTCTGATTTTGTCACTCTTGAAACAACATTTCAACATGACACCTCATCCCAGCATAACACAAGTGAAATCGCACCTCATTGTTTGTAGTTTATTATGAGATGAGATACACAATGAATCGAGTTTTTTGTAACTATAGATGGTTAGACTGCTCTTGAGTTCAGTTGTCAGTAGCAAGTTGTTTGCAACACAATCTCCAGCCCTTACTTTTGTTTGTCTCACATCGCTGCACGTATTTCATAACGTTGCGTAATTTCACAATAGCGTCACCCCTTGCTCGCAATAGTAAACCTAATCATACAGAAAGCCCTGTAAGGCCCAAAAACCCTGGTTTCACAGTTGAATCACTTCTGAATAGGATCTTTCCCAACAGCCCTGAGGAATTACTCATCAACTCTGTGCCCTAAATGTTTGTGTGTGTGTGGGTTTGTGTGTACACAAGAGTGTGTTCCCATGCCTTTCTCAACACTCACTCTTGGTGGCATCCAGCTACATTAGCTACAGCTTTATTTTTTTGACAAATTCCCAACCCTCTCTCGTGTAAAACACCAGACATTGAGCGCTCTGACTGCGCTTTATGCTGCAGCTGAGTAAGTAAGATTGCATTTTCTTGTCCAGCTATTGTCAGCACATCACTCATAGATGAATTTATCTTCAGTGGACTGAAGGGGGCTCAGGCATTGTGTGTCCTGTACAGGGTTAGACAGTGATTTATCACACACAGACAAAGACACATATAGATCTGCACACACACACACTCACTCACATGAGCATAGAGTTGATTAATCACCAATGTGTCTAACCCCACACTCTCAAGATTGAATTCTCCAGGAGCGACCTGGAAACGAAGATGGATTGCACTCTGTGGCAGTGTGTTATCTTTCTGTCAGACACACTCGATGAAAAATACCCAAACGACAAGCTCAAACAGCGGCCAGTGTCTCTGGGCTTCAGCGTGGCCTTTCAGAAAGGAGCTTGCTGCATGCTTTAGGATGAAGTCAGCCCACTGCTTGTGGTAAATCTCTCCCAGTTTTATAGGAAAATGATTTTTTCCCTCATAGCAATAGACAGAAAGGGCAGCAAAATTACAACAATACGCTTTCACATAGCCTGTAAATGCCTGAAAAACAGGCTAATGCTTTTTTAGTCTGATCCAAATCCTATTTTGTTTCAGAGATTAAACAATATTGTGAAGTGTTATGAAATTAGTGTGTAGAGCGGAAGGCATCAACCTTTAATTATGTAGAAAGAGACATTTGGTTTGTTCAAGGTTAAGAATTTAGTCCACACCAAACCTCTAAATGTCAAATTTGTTAATTGGTGGCAATGAATAATCTGTTATTCAGTGATAAATTATTTATTCAAATACGATTTGAAAATACTGAATACATTTTTTACAAAACATCTTTTCAAAAGCAAAAGATATAACAGTTCATTATTCAGAATTTTGAATATACTTGATATCGAGACTGTAAATATTTTCATTTTATTAGAATTAAAATGTATTAATCTATTAATACAATAATTGGAAAGATTACGAGAATCCTTAACTTCAAAGTAATAGGGTGTTTTTGTACTCTCTGTGTTGAAAACTGTATATGCCTATTTTTTTAATTTGCTGATTGTTGCATTATTGTTTAACTACTCTAGACCTAAAGTGACATAAAAGATACATTAAAAATAAATCTGTTCTGAAATCTCAGCTCTTTTTCTTTAGAAATACTTAAGTGAATGAGAAGGAAACTCATCATTCAGCAGCAAGGGGGCAATTATTCATTTTTTCACATTCAATATTTATTTAATCATAATTTAGTCATCAAAGTGGTATTTGGTTGTATTTAATAACTCCTTTGGTCTTTGGTGGGTGTAAAACCATCAGCAGTGTATAGTGAGGATAATACCCTGCAGACCTGCACAGACATTTCTCTTCTCAACACATCATTATTTATGTTGCCCTAAGTACACTACATGGACCATATATCACACTCACTCTTTGGTTAACATTATGCTGCTATATTAGGGCAAATATACTGTGCCATGTATGTCACGTTTGTATAATCTGCATTAGCACTTTGCACATGCAGAAGAATGCGTGCCCTGACCGTAATAGCATCTCAATTAGGTAAGTATGCTGTAAATTACAGCAAGGCCAAATACTGGGAATACTTGAGGGCCGGGACAGAGTGTTGTGTTTGTTAGGAGTCCATCTGTAAGGCATTTAGGGCCCCTCGCCTAAAAGCATGACTCTGAGGGGGGGCTTTGAATGTGTGTGTGTGTGTGTGTGTTTAGACTGGTCCTATCCAGACCCAGTAGAGGGCTTCAGAGATGAGGGCCTGGTAAACACACACTCACGTATATACATATTTATACATCCAACCATATACACAAATACAAGGGGATATCCAAGCATACATACACACACACTGTTGTCCACCCAGTGTCTCAGCTTGGCTCTCAGCAGTGTCATTATCTCTATGAGCAGCACTTAATGTTTTACAGTTTGTGCATCAACAAATCTATTGCATCCAATAACGTTTTCCTCGATTTTGGAAATTGGCACCCTGAACAAGTTAAGCCCACATCAAAAGGAACTATTCGTTTTTAGTGCTTGGGGTATTATCTGTGGTTGTAGTTGTGATGTTATTTTCGCTACAAAAATCTTTTAATTTTATGATTGCAACAGAATTAATGCACAGCAATCAAACACATATTTATTCTTAACTGAAACCAAGTAATACTATAATAAGCTAAACATAATGTTACAAACCACATACAGAGATCTAAAAGTTTTTAATGACATTTTTAAAGTCTTTGGACTTGAAAGACGTTTCGGACTATTCAAGGGGTTTTCCACTGTTCTGATGTCATGCTCAATTGAATTTTAGGGGAAAGGGTTGTTTTTCAGATTCAGAGGATTTAAAGCTGCAGTAGGCATCTGCAATCTTTTTAAGATACATTATATTGGTATCACAATCATTTCTACTAAACGGACTGGTTTGTGATTGCTGTATAGAAAGAAATTAAAGATGCAAAAAACAATATTAAGTGCACTGTTGTT